CCCAAAATTTTCATGAGTATACATCAAATCATACATTTTGATGTATATTTATGTCAGTGAAATTTGGGTGAAAACTATATACAGTCATTTTTGTATTTTTTCTATGTTGTGAAGAATAAAATTGTAATTTTATAAGTCTGATTCACTAAGATTATTATAAGTTAAATGTATTTTTTGTATATTTAGGAATCGGGTATTACCTGGAGCTCTGAAAGATTAAGCATAGAATTTTTATGCATGTTTGGAAGATATTTCTACTTGATAATGCAGTGAAATGGTTTGTATGCTAAAATACGAGTCCGTGTTGTTGCCTTGTGAAATTGATTCTGTGCTCTCTGCCTGGATTTGGCCTACTGATCAATGATACTAATTGCTATAATCCAAATAAAATAATTCTGACCAAAATATGTTGTATTGTTACTATTTAACGAACAAAAGCAGAAGCTTTTAAAATGTGAATTAGGGCTGTATTTTTATTCATTTGTATATAATGTGTACCTTGCAGTTTACAAGATTTTTTTGGCATAGGTAACTTTTGAGCTCAAACAAAAATAATAAGCAACTTGATGCTCTGCTTTTCGCTTTTAAAAGAGGTACTCACAACTTCTTGAAGGATCCTCAATAGAATGCGAGCTCTTTGTTCTCCTGTTATCTGTACTCTAGATGGTGATGTTTTTCTACAAAAAACCAAAATCGTTGGAGTATTATAAATATAGTGGAATGCTTAACTAATGCAACAGACTACTTTGGAGTTCATTTGCTAAATATAATATGTCTGCTGCCACGGCAATGTTCTTAGCATTTTTAACACTTCCTGAGAGAGACTTAAATACTGTGTCTAGATGCCATTTATGCTCATAAATAACAAGTTACAATCCTCTAATAGGAACTGAGTAGTAATTGCAGAGTGAGAACTATTATTCTAGGCATATGCTTGTCATAAGATTGTACAACTACAGTGATTTTTTTGTTTGACTGCAGAAGGGATGAAATAATGTTGCCGTGCCCAACATCAGCACATGTCCTACGCGTGATAGCTGTGACTTAGCACTACTGTGTAATTGAAAACTTCTCTTTGAGATGTTATGCTGTGAAGAGTGGTGCTGAGCTCCATTTGTGCCTTAGAATAACTATTACTGGGTATTTGTCTGTCTTCTTTGCATTTTGAAAGCAATTTTAATTACATAGGGTAACACTAAAAATTCTGAAAAGCATAAGGATTCTGTGTTTGTAACCAAATTAATTTCACAATGGTATATAAGGCTTATCTTAAATAAAGCATTGGCAATTCTTGACATAAGACTTGAGGAAGGATCTGTGCCGGTGTGCTGAGTATAAAATAAAGTGTGAATATCTGTGTGACTGATTCTAGAGTTGGGATTGATTGATTCAAGCCAACTGACTGCCTGGAACTTCCATTCAATATCAAGAGGCTTTTCAATTCCACTTCCCATCTCTGAAAACAAATATTCTTCCACACTTGTCAGAAGATTAAAATATTGTGCTGAGAGAATTAATAAAGCTTCTGTGGTGCTTTCTGAAGGCTACCTTGAAGCAGTTGGAATTAAAAATGTGGGTGGAAAATTTAAAACTCAATACTGCTGGACATTGTTTTCCATAATACTACTTTCATTTACGCATGTGAAAGATCCTAAAGCCCTTTTCATGTCTTCACAAATTAGTTGGGCATTAGTATTAGGAGCCAACAAGGAGAGGTGCTATGCTGAACCTTGTTCTCACCAACAAGGAGGGACTGGTGGGGAATGTGAAGCTCAAGGGCAGCCTTGACTGCAGTGACCATGAAATGGTAGAGTTCAAGATCCTTAGGGCAGTGAGGAAGGCACACATAAAGCTCACTATCCTGGACTTCAGGAGAGCAGACTCTGGCCTCCTTAGGGATCTGCTTGGTAGACTACCATGGGATAAAGCCCTGGAGGGAAGAGGGGCCCAAGAAAGCTGGTTAATATTCGAGGATTGCCTCCTCCGAGCTCAAGAGCAATGCATCCCAACAAAGAGGAAGGTGGGTAAAAATGTCAGGCGGCCTGCATGGATGAACAAGGAGCTCTTAGACAAACTCGAACACAAAAAGGAAGTCTCACCTCTGTGCCCAGCAAGATCATGGAGCAGATCCTCCTGGAAACTATGCTAAGGCACACGGAAAATAGGGAAGTGATTGGTGACAGCCAGCATGGCTTCACTAAGGGCAAATCATGCCTGACAAATTTGGTGGCCTTCTGTGATGGTGTTACAGCATTGATGGATAACGGAAGAGCAACTCACATCATCTACCTGGACTTGTGCAAGGCATTTGACACTGTCCGCATGACATCCTTGTTCCTAAATTGGAGAGATGGATTTGATGGATGGACCGCTTGGTCCATAAGGAATTGGCTGGATGGCCACACTCCAAGAGTTGCAGTCAACAGCTTGATGTCCAAGTGGTGATGACTGGTGTTCCTCAGGGGTCAGTACTGGGACCAGTGCTGTTTAACATCTCTGTTGGTGACATGGACAGTGGGCCTGAGTGCACCCTCAGCAAGTTTGCTGACTAAGCTGTGTAGTACAGTTGACATGCTGGAGGGAAGGGATGCCATCTGGAGGGACCTGGACAGGCTTGAGAGGTGGGCCTGTATGAACCTCATGAGGTTCAACAAGGCCAAGTGCAAGGTCCTGCATGTGAGTTGGAGCAATCTAAAGCACAAATACAGACTGGGTGGAGAATGGATTGAGAGCAGTCCTGAGGAGGAGGGCTTGGGGGTGTTAGTTTATGAAAAGCTCAACATGAGCCGGCAATGTGTGCTTGCAGCCCAGAAAGCTATGTGCATCCTGGGCTGCATCCCTAGCAGCGTGGCCAGCAGGTTAAGGGAGGTGACTCTGTCCTTCTATTCCGCTGTTGGGAGACCCCCCACCTGGAGTACTGTGTCCAGCTCTGGGGCCCCCAACATAAGAAGGACATGGATCTATTGGAGCAAGTCCAGAGGAGGGCCATGAAGATCGAGGGCTGGAGCACCTCTCCTATGAAGACAGGCTGCGAGAGTTGGGATTGTTTAGCCCTGGAGAATAAAGGCTCCAGGGAGACCTTATACAGCCTTCCAGTACCTAAGGGGGGCCTACAGGAAAGATGGGGAGGGACTCTTTATCAGGGAGCGTAGTGATGGGATGAGGGGTAATGGTTTTAAACTGAATGAGAGTAGATTAAGATTAGATATTAGGTAGAAATTCTTTACTGTCGGGGTGGTGAGACACTGGAACAGGTTGCCCAGAGAAGTTACCCCATCCCTGGAAGTGGTCAAGGCCAGGTTGGATGGGGCTTTGAGTAACCTCGTCTAGTGGAACCGTGGCAGGGGGGTTGGATGCAGATGACCTTTAAGGTCCCTTCCAACCCAAGCCATTCTATGATTCTGTTGTCAGAGGTGTGTTTTTCTCTTTGATGTGCCGACATTGATAATGTGCTAATATCAGGGAAAGAAGAGCTGTTACTGTCAATATTATGTTTTAATTTTTCTAGTGTTTTAAGTGCATGCATATTATTTCAATGTTCCACTATAAAAGCATAATTCACAATATTTAGAAACACTTCCATGTCTAATTATACTTGCATAAATTCTGTCACAACAAACTGCCTCTCTGTAGATTAAATTAATTCTGTGTAGTTTGTACATAGAAATTTTACATTACCTGGTACTACATGAGGATATTATTACTGGGAAATTCATTAGCGGAAGTTTTTGCAGAGGCTGATTCAGCTGAATTGTGAACACTGAATTGCATTTTGTTCTGTCTTTTTGACTCCTGCTTCAGACAGTCTGCACAATCTTCTACAAACCATCTGTAGCTGTCATTTAGGCACTCTTAAATATTATAGTCACCATATATAAATACCACTTTTAATGAGTGTATATTAAAAACTTTAATACTGACATTGTCTAGTTTGAACACTTGAACTTGCAGAATCCTATTATTGTGTAATCTACATTCAGCCTCTTGGGCACTGTAGTGGGTTAGTCTTACTCTAAAAACAGTGAGTGATAATCTGAAGAGTATATGTATAAGCATTTCAGGTATCTTCTTTAAAATTAGTTTTAAGTTGATGTCAGTTTAAAGGTCAGCCCTTTGTTTCTTCTGCATCTAGCATGCCTACAAAAAAAAAATCCGTTGTGGAGAGGATATAGGAAGTGGAAGGCCTTCCAGACAGCCTAACGCTAGGTTGCTTTTATGAAATCAATTTGCATTTTACTTAAAGGTTTCTTCAGGTAAAATATAACCTCTTCACTAACTGGATAAGAAAAAGATAATGAGTACTGGTCTTCTCTACTAAATGACAGTCACTAAAAAGATGAGATGGAAGAAGAGGAGAGGTATTGGAGGATACAGAGCTACCATTGTGCTTCCCAAAGAATATTTGGGAGTTGACAAAACATGAAACTTTCTTCCGTTTTTTGTTTGATATCCAGTAGTTGTTTTTTTCTCGGGGGCAGTGCAGTTGTTTGGGTTTGTTTTTTTGTTTTCTTTTGTTTGCTGTTTTTTTTTTCAAGACAGAGTAACAGCACTTAATGGAAATGCCGCAATGTTTTGTCTGGTGTACTGATGACATGAAATCCCTTTCATTCTCCACCAGGTGTTTATTACGTGATTATGGGGAACTGGATGCCCTGGGTTAGGTGCTCTGTTTTAGTCCTGTGTATAAACTACTTCTGGGAAAGTTACTGGTTTGAGTATTAGATGTGTTAATTACGCAAACAAAGAACTTTAAATGTTCTGAAGTTAACAAACTGGAACAGCAGAAAAAGCTTTCTTGCATGAAAAAGAAAATGGATGTGAAATTGTAAGTAAGATATTGCTGGTTAGTTTACTTAGTGAGACTGGAAATTAACAGTTGATACTGTTAAAGCCCTACCAGAAGTAAACTGTGCAATCTGAAGGTAATTGAATTATTCTTCAAAAACTATTGTCAAATCAAAGGATGTGTGGAAGCCTGCTGCAGGCATGCACGTGCATACATGCATGGGGCAGACGTAAGCATTCATGGGCCAGTGTGCGCCAGGTTCCTGGTGCATGACTGCAGATCAGCCTATAGCATGCCAGATTTTGAAGAAATAAATTGCTGGTGGAAAGATGTAAAACTGGTACGTACCACTGGTGTTAAAAATCGTATGATTCAGCTGTTCTCAGTTACACATTCTAAACTGATACTTGTTTGCAGAATAAACTATCATTGGAGTCCTATTATGAATTCTTAAGAATAAATGTACTGTACAATGTATTGTTATCTGCCCATTGAAATTGTGTAATTCAGAATAACTTCTCAGTAAAAAAAGCTGTCTGTTTTTGTATATTTTTATTGAAACCTGGCATTGTCATGAAAAAAGGGTAGGCAATAGTATTTTTTTTTTCTGACCCATTTCTCTGTTGCTGACTGGGACAACAGTCACTAAAAGGTACTAGCCAGATTAGAAAGAAGGGCAGAAGTCTCAGAAATTCCGACAACTTGTGTCTGTGCTTAGCTCCAGACCATCTACAGCACGTGCTAGTCTCATGTCGGAGTAAATAAGGAGGGGTGTGGACACAGAAAATAAGATGGTAACATTTGAGACTAGGTTTTGCTGGTCTTGTGCACAGAATAGCACTTTTCCATGCACCCTCTTGTGGTTCCTTACATAATTAGGACAGTATCAGTCTGGTTTTTTCAGTGTAAATTTGATGGGCAAAGCAACCTGACTCTGGGCCCTGTTTTCAGGTGTATTGGAGCTAGGCTTCCTGGTAGTGAAAGTTGATGAGTTGCTGGTGTGCTTAGTGCTATAATGACAAGGCCTATCACACACTTCTATTTTAGGCATGCATGACCTTAACTTATTGGTGCCCCTTAACTATTTGTGCTTGTACTGCAGATAAATATATCTTTACCTTGTGTAAAGGTATTTGATAAACTAGCTTAAAACCGAACAGCTTATGTGCCAAAAGCATAACTGTTCTGCTCTGAGCTTCATACAGGCTACAGGAGTCCACTCGGGACAAATATTTCAGCCATTCTGTTGCTTTGATATTATCCATAGGTGATCAAGCAAGGCTGAATACTAAGTAGGTATATAAGGGCTACAGTTAACAAATGAGCTGCTACGTTCACAATCTTTGTAAAGAACTGAAGTCCTTAGCTACTTCTTGTTAATGTCGGGATTATGTGAAATCCCTGTGAACGACCACATGAATTATTTGCGTTATGGTGAAGTTCACGATGCAATCCTGTGCATATGCATGTGTTGCAGATCTGCAGCCTGGCTCTAGCTTGTCCTCAACAGCATAGGAATGCAAATATTTTTAGTTTTGCATTTGGAGTGAAATATTGTGGATGCTGTTACAGAAAAGCTGATAAACTTCATTCAATAACTATCTTGTCTTGCTAGGCTTCTGTGTACCCCTAAAAAACCTAAGTGTTATTGATGAGTCAGGTTGTTTTGTGTTGGGGTTTTTGTTTACTTTTTAAAGGCTGTGGTTTTGTGTTTTCACAGTTTTGTACTCACTTTTGGTTCTATTCCTTGTGAATCATCGGACTGGGGGGGGAGGAGAAACAGAATACATAGTAGCAGCTTGTTCAGTTTCAGCATTTCATGCCTCCAAGCTGGATTCTCTTACTGTCTCTGGGTTTCAGAGGGCTGCTTTGGACTATGCAAAGATAGTCAATGAAAGGACCAAAAACTTGTTTTATAAATGCTTCACTAATTTAGAGTGTATTGATATTTTAGTTTTCTGGATTTAATACTTGCATGAATCTTGTAGTGCATGAAGGCCACGAAAAGTGAAATGTGTGACATGTATTCTGAGGTTACTATCTAGATATTATTCCCCATTTTAAGTAAATAATGCAAAGAAAGAATGCTAATGTTTGTCTACTGCGCCTGTTGTAATAATAATAAAGCAAAAAATGTTTTGATACAGATTTATGAGGCTACATCTGTAATCAGAATTTATGTGAACTCCTTATGTGTTGAAGAACATTACATCTGTGCTTCACTTAAAAAAGTGTGAAACACTTTTTGAAAAAGAGAGAGGCACAGAATTTTATTAAATAATGATTGAAAGTTATCTAATGAAATTTTGCTCCCCCAAAAAAGGAATAGCTTTTATGATTGAGTGCGTAGAATTGGGAAGGCTAGGCTAGGGTGGAAGGTGGAACACTAGCCTTTCTAGAAAAGGAATAGTAAGTTTCTCTGTTTTGGCGCATAGGTAGTCATGTGATATTTCTGTTTGTTGATCTCTATGAACAGAGCAAATAAATATTCTCATTTAACAGATTAGAATACAAAGAATACTTGTATGGACTAAGGTCATAGTTTGTAAATAGCCGAGTTGGGACTGCAATATAGAAGCTCCTCACTCTTACAGTCATTCTTCAGAAATTGACTGGACTAAGTCACCAAAGGAAAAGGTAACTGTTATCTTTGTATAATTTATTAACAGAGAATAATTGCCTGAATGTTCTTATAATAAATGTTGGACATGTAAATGACTTTACAGCCACCTAGGCTACGTTGTTGTTTTGCTTTGTCGCATAACTCTCTCGGGTGACACACACATAGTTCCTTATCTGCTGTTTATAATCAGGTTCCTGAATTAGACACAAGAAGCCAGTGCTTGAAGAAACTGCATGTCGGAATGAAAGCTGTAAGCAAGCTGTCCGCATTATAATCTGTATCCTTAATATTACAATATCCTACTAGTTACCTTTCTTCTTCTACAGTTCCGAGACATGAGATTCAGTACTATGATCACCTAAAAGTAGGCATTTGTTTTAAGACTTTTTGTATCTGTGTGGAATCTTATATCTTCTTTGTCATAGCCCTGTATGTCCTCGTTACGTGAAGTGCCTGATGATTTGGCATTACTCTTTGCTTCTAATACAGCATCCTTACTGTTTTCAGAAGTTACAGATTTCTTGAAGAATCTTTTCTAACTGCTCCTTTACATTTCTTTAAATTCACCGCCTCATATTTACCTACCTGTTTTTAAAGTTACAAATGGTTGAAGACTTTTTTTTTCCCCTCTAGCAAGGACAAAGGTTTTTTCCCCTCTGGCTACGGATTTTTTTTAAAAAAAAAACACAAACCAACTTTGCTCTTCAGCTTTAGCATCAATTATTGTAACATTAGAAAAAGGCAGAACTATTCATATGTCAAACAAAATGACATAGTGAAAAGAAACAAAAATGATACTCTAGAATTGAAACTACCAGTTTCCGGGAGCTGTATATGTAAACTTTCTGGAGAAGGGGCTACAGCTTACTGTACAGTGGAATCCTGCCTTAGATTCAGGTTTCCCGAGGTTATCATGATGCAAAAGCTAAATAAGACCTGACTTAGTCCCAGTGATGAAACATAGGAACCTTAAAATTATTCGGCCCATTACCTAAGCAATGCTTTGTTGATATCCAGAACTAAATGTAGTAAGATGTCGATGTCGGATTTGGAATGTGTCTGGTTCTTATACGTGCCTACTTAGGCATTTTCTGTCAAGCAGAATTAATTTTAAACATGAAGTTGTTGCGGGTCATCTTTCTGCCTTTACTTGGTTTTACAGTTGCACATTTTTGTGAAAAGTGAGATCTTTTTTTGCTGCCTTTGAGAGAACTCCAAAATGGGACTTTGTGTACAAAACAAAAAGAACTGTCCCAATTTACAACTCAATGAAAAATTGTTTCACTGTCTTTATCCCTAGAGTTCAGGCACTGTGCAGCCAGAGTAACCAACCACAGAATTCTTGAGTTTTGTTCTACTCTAGTGTACGGATAGTGACAGCATTGTACAGTATCCCAAGAAAAGATAAACTCCATCTGAAAGACAGTAGTATTTATACATAAAAAATGTCTCCTCATGGAAAAGGAACTATGAAGGCAATATTGATCAGCTGCAGTATGTAGCATCTGGCAGGAAAATGCCACATAAGTGGGCACCAATGTGCATTTTTTGTAGTAAAAATATTTAACTGTATATTCCTGGTAAGTGAAAGATGCTCTGTGGAAGCAGCTGCTGAAAATTCAGCATATGATTTTACAAAGCTTCAATGAAATGCAGAAAAGCCTAAATTGCTGTAATTTGTGGAGTTACTTGCAAGTGTAAAGGACACGTGAAAGGCTTGTGTTTGAAAGGTTATCTGTTTTTTCCAACTGTATCTGCCAATGCTGCCTCTCTACAAACCTTGCCTTATCTCTGTCCTTTGATAACCACAGCTTCAGCACTACTACTACTAAGGGCTACTCGTGAGCAGGGATTTTCAATGTTTGGACAAACATCTAGACAATTATGAGTTTCAGCTACTTAAACTAAGGAGCTATCTGATTTGACAGTTTGTTTTTAATAAAACATGATACAGAACATCAAGTGATATTATTATTCTTAGTACATATGATGCTTACCTTCAAAACACTGTAAATCATTAATTGGCTAACTGGCATCTGCAGAAAGAGCGGATCATCTGAAAGAGCACTGTAGAAGAGTCGGGTGTTTGAAAGGTGTTGGGAACAGCTGCCGTATCCTCCCCGTGCCCCTTGACCGCTCTGGCTAACCAGGTTAGAGAATATAGCCTCCAGTAAGACCGTGTCACAACACTGTCAGATGAAAACACGGGCGGTGGCTTAGGTGGTTGAAAAAACAACAACAAAAATCCCAAACAAAAACAAACCCCAAAAGCCTGTATTCGTATTTTAGCCTTAACTGTTGTATGAGCAATAGGTGCCAAGGTTGGGAGAGATTTCTTTGGGGCTTTACCTTCCTTCACTAGTGTTTTAGTCACCGGTACTTGGTGTTGACATATCTGTCATCTCGAGCAGGTCGCAGTTCCCCTTTACCCCCTTCTTCCAGGGAAAGCTGCCCCGCAAGGGCCTTGAAGATGAGGCAGAACACGGAGATAACCCCGTTTACCTCCCGTTATGGCGGGGACTGGTTAAACCCAGCCGCTCTCTGGCGGGTGGGACCGGCGGTAGGGACGATCCCCCGGGAATCACCTCAGCGAGGCCGCCGGCCTGGCGCCTCAGGCAGCGCCAGAAGGAGTTAACAGCCCAGAGC